GATAATAACTAGCAAAACCCCCTGCTGAATTTAGTCAAAGGCAGAATCCCCCCTAGCTGATTTTTTAGACTTGAAATGACAAAATTGTCCCTCAAAATGTATTTATATATATACATATTATATGTATATTTATTCTTTTTAATTTGTTTGTTTAGAAATTAAAAAAAAATAGTAAACAACTAAATTGATTATTTTTTAAATAAAATAATTAAAATATTTATAAAATATAAGAATTTATTAATTGCAAGACTCCAGGGGTATTTGTGTCTTTTTATATCAAGTCAACCCTCAAATAGTTCCATAGGGGGGTTTTTGCTATTTAAATAATTTCACAGGGGAGGTTTTTGCTAGTTTATTTATCACAGGGGGGTTTTTGCTATTTCGAGATTATACAGGGGTAGTTTTTGCAGTTTACTCTTAAAATTATTATAAAATGTTGAAAACAAAAATAAAATTATTATAAAAAAATAAATGTCAACCTCTCTGATGCTTACAGAATGTTAAATAATAATCCCAGAAAATCATATCCACCCTTCATAGAAATAATCTGCCAGATATTGTGTCGGCAATTAAATAATTATTAAATAATCACCCATCAATTATTTAAATAAATAATTATTATTTTGATTTGAACAAATAATTGTTTTGTGTTTGATTTGGTACAATTGCAAACTAGTCGTAACATTGCACTTGGTGCAATCAGGCACCTGCCCTTATCTTTTTTTTTTCCCTTAATAAATCTACGGTTGAGCTTTTGCAATCATGTATATACAATATATTTTAAATAAGGGGCTCTTTGAGAAAACCCCCTCACTATTTTTTTTAATTGAGGGAGGCCCAAAATATTTTAGTCCATTTGAGAAAAGTCCACACCCATTTTCAGTCATTATGTTTTCCAGCTTTGCCCCCACCCGCCACATCATCACTGGGTCACGCTCAGCGATTTTTTTTAATTTTTAATTTTTTCCGTTTTTTTTCTTCCGTCTTTTCTGTATCAGTTTCCTTAATCGACTATGAAGCATAGTCGATTAGCCTTAATCGACTATGCTTCATAGTCGATTAAGGAAATTATTTAATTATTTAATTTTTTTTTTGTTTTTAAATTTTGTTTTATATCAGTTATAGTAATCGACTTTGATGTGAAGCATAGTCGATTAAGAATCTGATACTAAAAATAACAAATCACAACTGCGAAAAAAATACAAAATCAACTATATATAACAAAAACAAAAAAATATACAAATATTATAAATGATTTATACAATTGAAAGCAATAAACAAAAAATCCAAAAAAAAATAAAAAAAATTGGAGTCGATGAACCTTAATCGACTACCAGAGCATAGTCGATTAGCTTAATCGACTATGAACATGTACATAGTCGATTAAGGTAACAGCCTGCGCGAAATTCTCTACACGCGCCTTCATCCGTTCAATCCACCAAAAAACCCTAAATCTGCCTCCCCATCGTCACCACACCGCCGTCACAACACACATCATCACCTTACTTTGATATTATGATGGTTTTTTAATTACAAATAAATAAATAAAATCACAACTCGCACCACCAACCAAATCAGAACCACCACCCATCAAAAATCTGATTTCGATGACAAATCGACAATTTATGGCTTTTGTTAAGATCTTCCGACGACGACCCCGATCCCGACTTCGTCAGCGACGGCGAAGGAGACGGCACCGACGACAATGGCTTCAACGGAATTAGCATCGTTGTTCCGTTCCGGTTGGTTCTTCATCTTCCGATCAAGAGAGAGTAATCTAAGAATTGAGAGAGAAAAGTATAAAATGGAGAAAAAAAAAACAGAGAATGGACGGGGAAAGAAGAGACGGGAGAGAAGAGAAAATAAGATTAGGGTTTGAAAGAGTATAGTAGACAATTAAGGGTAGTTTTGGAATTATAAAAATATCACTTGGGTGGAATATTAGGTAAGGGGGTTTTCTCTAATTATTTTTGGAAGGGGGTGTTTTCTTAACTCATTTACCTAGATGAGGGGGTTCTTGCTAATTATCCCTTTAAATAATATTATTTTTTAGTAACTCATAATCAAGATCTACTAGTTGACTGTAAAAATGTCAAACAAGTTAACCAATTTTAATTTTAATTTTTATTCAAATAGAAATTTTCAATAGGTGAACAATTAGTTATTCAATTAGTAAAATTTAAATCTAAGCTTGATTAGTATATTAATTTTTGTACTTAAAAAAAAAAGGTCATGTTGCACTATTTGCCTTTTAACTTTTTTATAACTTTTATCTTAAGACAAAAAATAATTATTTGATTGCAAGAGACCTAATTATTTGTAAAAGGATATTTGATTAAATTAATTCCATTTTATGTATACAATCGACTTACGTAATTTGCAAAAGCACGCTGATTGTGACATAAATTATTTTAGATTACAAAATAATATATTTTTCCCTAATGGGAGGGCCATACGAAATTAAAATATTAAATTAATTTTGGATTAATTTGTTATGAATATTAAACAACGAATCTAGCAAAGAGAATGCGGCTAATTTGCTAAAGGGGTTATGTTAGTTAGTGTCGTTATCTTGTTGTTTATTACATTGTTATCATGCTTTAAATTATTATTTTATTTATTTATTTATTGAAAGTGTCTCCTAGAAAATCATAATTAAGTAATTGTATGCTTCTTTTGTAATAATTGTTGTATTTTTTTTAGCAAGTTATATGTGTTGGATGTATATTCAACATCATATAATTAAAATATATAAAAAGACATCTGTAGTTATTGATTAAATCAGGGAAATTTAATATAAAATACCTAATTGTTTTCTGAAAAATAAATTGGAACTATTAGCACACGTAAAACACACTAGGCTAATCATGTGTGACAAGTTCGATCTAGCGATCGCTGATAAAGGGAGTCGAACCTAAATTAATTGATACAAACTCACTTGCTCCAGCCGTCAGTTCATCCTTCGGGACGCATTTAATTCATAATTGATAATATAGTTTATAATAGAAAATAAATTGAGAGAATTTTGATAAGATCCTTGTCAAATTTAAAGGGGGAAAAAAAGACAAAACTCCATAACCTCTCCATGAATTTACTCCAATTTGATTTTGTCCTTTGTGCTTTTATTATATATAAACCACCAAACAACTACTACACAACCCCACACCAACCAAAAAAATATTAGAAAATTAAATACATAAATAAAAGATAATATCATCTTAAGGAATCTATTTCTTCATATTCATCCAAAAATATATCTTTCACTATAATAATATACATCCGGTTTATGATAAAAAGTTACTCTTTTATTGCATACAAATTGAAGATCAAATCAAATTAATGTACACAATAAATATAAATTAGGTCACTCGTGAATGTACGTAACTTTTGCGTCCGAATGATATTATGTTTTTAGTAGTTATAATTTATGTCTACAAAAATAATTGCAGCATACTACTGTTCTGATAATGCTAAAAATAGATCACCTTCAGTAGTTGAGATCGAGGGAGCTAGAAGAGCAAAGTGGATCACTGCTCACGTGCTAGATGACCCTGAGATACTTGCGAACAAAGAACACGTGAACTAGGCCGGGGGTTGATCCGGTGGAAACCCTCCGACGCTCAAGTCAGACATGCGGATTGTGGAAATAGTTGAGAGAATACAAATTATATAATTACTCCAATAATAGGACGTACCTTTGATAAATGAATTATGTCGTTATTTATACCTTGTCGATTGGGTTGCGGTTAATTTGTTGGGCCCAAACCTAATTTGAATGTGTTTGGGCCTCCGTAGAAATAGCTATTAAACTAGACATGTGGTCCAGTAAATATGAGTCTATTGGGCTGGGCCAATAGGCATATCATGTCCTAACAAATAAACTGTTACAACTAGATAAGATTGATTTCTATAAGCATATAAATCAACAATCACGATTTAATCTTGTAATACTCAATTCTTATCTTAAGAATAAAAAACACAAATTCAAATAAATTTTTTTTTTTGAGTTACCAAGATAATTTGCATAAATACTGATTTTGCATGTACAAGAGTACCACCAATTATGTAATGTAAGAAACATTCAAAATCTAGCTAGGCAGAAGAAGAATTACAGGAGAAAAAAAACAACTCTATTTTTTAATTAATTCTCTCCTCTCTAAAAGTAGCCTCTAATTTTTCAACCTCAATGCATGCTGTAATAACATGCATCGAAGCCACGGTAATCTAACGATAATCGACAACCTCGTACCGCGTGCGCGATCAGAAATTCGAGAACTGGTTCTGTGAAGATTGTACCATGTGCAGATCAGTTGTTGTTTGGCATGAATTATCATCAGCCATTTGCAGAGCCCTGCAATTTTAGAATACATTTAATTAATTAAATACAAAAAATACGAATTTTGCAAGATTCGATTTTCATAACAAAGTAAATTAAAAAAAAAAAAAAGAAGGAACATTCGTACTCTCGAGGCCTTGATGCCCATAGTGAACTCAAAGCTCGTAAACGACCATAGTACTCTCCGATAACCAAGAAGCAACGCGCTGCTTGTCGAACGGTCAATATTCGACGAAGCTGGTGAAGTGTTTGTTGCCTTAAATTATCAGCCTGTATTAATTAAAATTCTCAAAAAAATTAAAATAATAATTTAGATAATTAAAGTCAATAAACTTGTAATAAATTTCAATTTATGGACTTCAGCTGCAGACAGCTCATAATACAAAAACAATAAGTCTATAATATACAAACATTTCAAATCAAACCCTTTGTCTTATTATAATTAAAGATCCTAGCTTTAATCAAAATTATCAATATTTTGATTATTCACATCATTAGCTACTGATTTACATTATTATAAAACTAATTAAAAAAATAAAATTGCATGAGCATATATGATTGGTTAGTCATATAACCATTAAGATCAGGTGTGGGGGGATCCACCATAAGTGGACTTATTTGTCACATAATTCCAATATGTAACCCTAAAAGCAATTTTTAATAAAGACTTTGTCACATTGCACAAAAGTTATTTCCTTGAGGAGGAAGTATTATTTTCTTTCCCAGCTTTCTTATATTTGCTCTTTTGCTACTTTTCGATTTTTTTTTTATCGCTCGCCCCCCGACATTTGCTTTCTTATCACTTATCACCCTATCTCACTAGTTAAAGTATGACTTATCAAATCAATGTGCCACCAAAAATAATAACACATATATCATACTATTACTACTTTATATTAAATTATTAAGCACAAAAAAAGACGATTAAACGAAGAAAAAACAAATTTAATTACCTGTCGAACGAAGCCTTCGAGATTAGCTAGCTTCCCTAATGCAACTGCCATGTGATGCATGCTATCGTTTATCGAACCATTAGCAATAGTGTCGATTAAAGATTGTTGCAGTTGTTCCAATCCTTGTGAGAGTGCGTCTTCGGCTTGCTGTGAGGTCTGCTGCAGGCCGTAAATCCCCATTATTTGCTGCTCCGTTAGCGGGTC